AAGGAACAAGGAGTTGCATTGTGTAGAGATTTCGCAAACACGCTCGTGAGAGTGCGAGTGCATGAGTGACTTTTAAATTAATCAGTATGCACCGGATGATGAATATATGCACAAAAGTGGTTATATATGATTTCAGAGCGGAGTAGCACGAATAAGGTCCCAGCGTTTCGTTGATTGGTTGATTACAAGCGGTCATTGTGATTTTCTTCTCCCGACAATTGTGCCCCAAAACGGAAAAATTATGTTGTATCAAAAAGTTGTTAAATTTTTGAGAATGAACAACGAAACTGTGTAGAAATGCTGAGAAGTACTTTCTGAACTATAAACCCCAGAATTCCCACCTGGTCGACGCACCGTACAGTGCTTGCGCGTGACCGTGTGCTTTGATAAAATTCGTGTGGTCTTTGGCTTGTTTTACGGTTTTCTTACGGTCTGGTTTGACTTCAGTTTTCAATGAAAGAAACTCATGTTGGTATTGCGCACAAAGTCAGGCTGATCTCTGAATCGGATGAAGATTCTGAAACGAATATGGAGAGATGGTGGTGTTGCTTGACAAGTATTCCTGCCCGAGAAATCTGAGTTAGGCTTCCCATTATAGATTTTGGTTCCTGAGTGATTTCGGTTTTAAGGAATAAGAATGCAAGACTCGGACGCATTTGGCATGTAACGAGTAACTGATAGCAGTAGCGTTCATCGCTTGGTAAACTGTCCTATCATCAAGGCATATTTCACCTTTTTGATATCTATCGTTTACTCTAATCCCATATGTAGCTCCAAAGAGCTTTATTGGTCACTCCTGGGTAAACCAGGCGGAGGACAACTGAAATCTAAAAACCTCAGTGCGATAACGTACCGAGGAGATCTATTGCCTATTTCCATAGCCATTCTGGATTGGTACCGGTTACGACGATTACATTGTAGGTGCTGGTAACTACGGTGTTTGCCTTTTATTGCTGTTTATCTTTCCGTGGTGTTTGATAAAAAGTGTTTATTGCGGAATTCTAACTACATCAGGATAAGGGATCCCATATATAGACTAACCAATGAATTGCTGGGAGCCCCAACTAAACACCAACACACCCGCTTCGACTGTGCAGAGGCTAGAGTTGAGTCTTTGAGAAGAAGTGTAGTTATGTTGGGTGACATCCCTTGCATGAAACTCCCTTGACTTTTATGGACCTTATTTATCCACACTTAGGAGTAAAGCAATTGATTCTTACGGATACCTGTTTATCTGCAGGACAACCAATTTTCTTAGTCAAACTTCTGCTACGGGTACTCTGGTGATTTTTCTTCTGTGATACCTGGATTAGTGTGGCGATGTCGTTCGGGAATCGTCATTCAAATACTGGTTGCCGAAAGAAAATCCGTGATCAGAACTTATTTTCCTTATCTCAGAATTTAACGTAATCCCGTAAAGCTGTTGTTAACCTCGCAGTTTCCAGATTCACGCTTCGAGTCGATAAACATGTATTCGTGTTGATTTTCCGTCCCAGCCTCTATGCCCTATTGGTCCCAGTGCCCAAACTGTTACACCGCGCCTCAAAGAAACTGTAATTCGCAAGACTGAAGCGATGGTTCAGAAAGCTTTTGATGATCAGGAGAAGATAACCCCACTCACTATCATTCTCAAGGACTCGAAAAACAGTTTGGACGCAGCTGCATTGAGTGCTTTCCCGAATGAATGGCGTGAATTGGATCTCGCTTGGGATCATGTGATACATAAGAGACTGACCGCAGAGCCAGAGGCAAGTCACACATTGATTGTCGATCTGAACGGAACCGACGAATCGGCCGAGCACCGATTGCCACAATTGGTACATCAAATCGGTCAGTTCGCCAGGCGATTTTGTCCTACTTCTGCTTAACTTCACCTGCCCGATTTTACTCCATGAACTGGTTATTTGTTATTATAGTTCTCTCGTGCAAGACAGGCACACTGTCACGATTTATCTCCGTGAAATTTTACACAGATTTATATGCGGTTCTTCTCTGTAATATTTTGCTATTTACACCCAAACCTTTCATGTTTGTAGCCCTTTCTGTTCTTCTGTTTGTGATTCGGTCAAACTTTTGATACGGCACCTTTGATGTTCTTCCCACAGAGAGAGTAAGATTGACAGCATTTTTCGAATCGTGTATCTCCATTTACACATGCCCATATACATGTTTCCACCTCATTTCGGCCTCTTTTTGTCATCTTCGAACATTTTCAGTTCGTATGGTTGTTCGTTTTTCTATCACTTGGGTTGTGTTATCAGTGCTGGTCGCATGTAATTTCCGAGTGTGTCACTCCGCAAAAGTTCATGGTATTCTCTTTAATGCGAACGATTTTCAACATGATTTATGGAATATAAATGAGTGTAACAAGATGCTGATTGGAAACCTTGATGTTAAAACGATAATTAGGTAAGCGGATGCAGAGCATTATAGTTTATTGTAATAGATGATCTTTTAGCTTGTCCATGATAGATGGTGTAAACGATCTAGGGAATAGTGCCAATGCCGGACGCAGGTGGTGCATGGGTTGCTTGGTAGGAGTGGTACCGCCAAATGCGTTCTGTCGGTCCTTTTGGAATATTCCCCCCGAGGCACTGAGCTCTCACCTGTGGATCCAAGATACTGTCTCGATGCAATAACGGCAACACGGAAGGCGGTCCACAGGTCACTTAGCGAAAACAGGCGTCAGTTTACTCGAAGTGGCAACTAAAGGTTTTTCCTGAACCGCCGTTCGAAAGCAAAGCGCACGCACATGACCAAACCTGAAGGAATTCCTTCCCTCTGAACCGTAGTGTTGTGAGTAGTATGTGTGGGTTGCGCAAAAAACGTGAATGGCTGTTTCAACGGTCAAAAACGAACGTGACCTTTTAGAGCGAATTGATGTGTTTAAAATGGATAAAGCGCATATACTGTCGGGCCGTTCCATTAATTGTCCTATGTGCTTGTGGGAATTCTGAAAACTTGTTCCAAACGAGACATTTTGTTGTTTATACGCCAGTTTACCGGTACCTTACCATTATTCGTAATACATAACTCCCCTCGTCGCGATATGGTCTTGTGGGTTTATAGCAGTAGTACTGCTCAGTGGCGCATCGGAGAAACTTTTCAACTTCATGAGATCTTGATACGCTAAGCCTCGACTTCGCGGCGAGTACTAACCCGAGTTCGAGGTAAGATCTAGAGTACGACGTGGGGACCCAATTCCGCCGTTGACTGGATAATAGGTCATTCCATGACAGGATACCAGGGAGTTCAGATTTCTCCGAACCCCTGGTTCATCGAATTGGCTAATAATATCGTCGTCCTTTATGAGAATGTATCCTACCTCCGAGGAATCGTTGGCCGCATCAGTCAACATACCTCCGAGGCTGACCTAAGAGTGAGCATATCTAAAACCGAAATGTTTGGGACATTCCCAATTCACCTCGAAGATACTTCACAACCAAAGGGGTGGCTGATTTAACTCATCGAAAGCGTTAAATACCTGGGCTCAACGATATGATCCAACGACAAAACTAAGGATGAGGTGCAACTGCAGACTGCCAGGAAGGCTTATCTAAAGCCGAAGAATTTCCTATGGGATAGAAGCGAAATCGGGGTTAGGTCAAGAATACGAGTTTTCTCCGCAACATTCCGTTTTTCCTTGCTGTACGGCTGCGAAACCTGACCGATACGAATCGAAGATTATCGGCAAATAACGGTTTTCGATCATTGGTACCTAAATCTTTCTGAGAGTTGGGTAGACGGATCAGCTCCGAAATAAAACAGTCAGAAACTAGGGTTTCAATCCTATACGGCTACTCAAGCTAATATAGCGGCGATTACTGCGTAAACCAGATCGCGAACTAATCAAAACTGCCTATGCACCACCTCCCTGTCCAAACTGGCACTGTCGACACGGTGGACAGTTGGAACTTTGGTTAGACGCCATACGCGAGGGTACAACGCCCCTTGATTTCTGTTCAGTAATAGGAGTCAGCCTGGAATACAATCTGTGCAAACTTTTCTACCGAGCTCGGACAGCTGCAATGCGAAGCCGGCTTATCCTCCTTCGGGAGCTAGCCGCCGTGAAGTAAGTATGCATATGAAACAAGCCTTTCCCGAGATCAATTTGAAAAGAAAAGACCATATTGCAATACTGCACGATTTATGTCCAGGACGATTTCACTGCATCTCAACATGGTGCATACTGCAGAAAATACAATGTTTATATAGGGTTTTAGCATAGCAACAGAGTGAGGCAAAATACATTAAAAAACAGACAAAACATAAAAGAG